CATCCATCCATCCATCCATGTATCCATCCCTTCCTTGCATCCATCCATCCATCCATCCATCCATCTCTTCTTTCCACCCATCCATCCATCCATCCATCCATCCATCCATCAATCCATCCATCCATCCATCCATCCATCCATCAATCCATCCATCCATCCATCCATCCATCCATCCCTTCCTTGCATCCATCCATCCCTTCTATCCATTTATCCATCCACTCATCCACCTATACATCCATCCATCCATCCATCCCTTCTCTCCATCCATTTTTCCATCCAGCCATCCTTTCCTTCTTTCTTTCCATCCATCCAGCCATTTATCCCTCCCCTCCCTCCTATTCCATCCATCCATCCATCCATCCATCCATCCATCCATCCATCCATCCATCCATCCAGATGGAAAAAGAACATTGGTAACCAGAAAGTTGATGGTAGCCATTAATTTCCATAGTATTTCATTTCTACAATGGATGTCAATGGCTACCACCAACTGGCTGCTTAGTATTCAACATTTATTTATAAAATTAAATAAAATAATATTCAATGTGAGACTGAACGAAAACTTGGTTTGTCTCCTGAATGCAAATTGACAGAAACATTGTGAAAAACCTTTAAACGTGGCATGGTTGTTGACTTGAGACGATCTTATTTTAATTTGAATGCTAACAAGACACACTCAAAAAAAGGCTTTAGCTGCTTGTTCAAACTCGTGCATTCGTGCAAATTCGTGCAGTTTTGGGGTAAAACTTAAAATTTTTACGTTATGTTTTATGATCGATCGGCTCAAATTTGTTAAGATAACTACAGTAACTTAATTGATTTGTGTTGGAACAACATGAAGAAATTGTGTTTGACCTAGCATCTTTTATAGCACAATATGCACACAAATCGTTTAGTTTTTGATTTTATCAAAGTCATGAACCTACCTGTTAAACTCAAACCCTAATGTCTAATGTCAAATGTAGGCCACTGAAGGAAACACGCATCCAAATGGAGACAATGACAGAAATGAAAACATGTTTGTGTTTTATTTAATTCGGTTATAACAATAACAGCTAGAATTCTACTAACAGAGACAACATTTCCCTCACAAGTCATAATCTTTTGTCAGCAAATATATATTCTTGCTAATATGTACATTACAGTAAAATAAATAATCATAAAAAAGACTTTAGAAATCCAAAAACACAGAGCTAGTCTGTACAAAACTTTGGGATTTTAAGACCGTGTTAAGAATACAGATCGGAAATGTGTGAAAGGAAACATGTCAAATGTAAAAACTAAATGTATTGATTTTGTATTTAGATATTACAACCATAGGGTGATATACACTCACCGGCCACTTTATTAGGTACACCTCTCCAACTGGAAGCAAATTTCTAATCAGCCAATCACATGGCAGCAACTCAATGCATTTAGGCATGTAGACACGGTCAAGACGATCTGCTGCAGTTCAAACCGAGCATCAGAATGGGGGAGAAAGATGATTTAAGTGACTTTGAGCGTGGCATGGTTGTTGGTGCCAGGTGGAGTATTTCAGAAACTGCTGATCTACTGGGATCTTTACGCACAACCATCTCTAGGGTTA